TTATGATTCTAGCATGAGTCTTAAAAAGAATTATGACGATAGTATATCTCAATCTGAATATGCAAAGATTATAGGTAGTGTCATGTTTTTAATGAATTACACTAGACCTGATATTGCATATGCGGTAAGCAGACTGAGTAGATATACACATAACCCTGGTAAAGATCATTGGACTGCTCTACATTGGTTGTTAAGGTATCTTAGGGGTACAATGGACTATTGTTTGTATTTTAACAAATTCCTGTTGTGCTAGAAGGATATTGTGATGCAAACTGGGTTACAGATAATGATGAAGTGAACTCCACTAGCGGGTATGTGTTTACTTTTGGCGGTGGAGCTATCTCATGGAAATCGGCAAAACAGACCTGCATTGCTCGATCTACCATGGAATCTGAATTTATAGCACTTGCATTGACAGGTCAAAAGGCTGAATGGTTGAGAAGCCTTCTTGGAGATGTGCCACTGTGGGGGAAATGTGTACCTATATCCATACATTGTGACTCACAAGCTGCCATAGGAATTGCCAAAAACAGTGTTTACAATGGCAAGAGACGCCACATACGTCTAAGACATGGAGCTGTGAAACAGTTGCTGAAAGATGGAATTATATCCTTGGAGTATGTGAGGTCCAAGAGGAACTTGGCAGATCCTCTCACCAAAGGTCAAACAAGGAGAGTAATTCTGGAGTCCTCAGAATGTATGGGACCCAAGCCATGATGTTCGATCCATAGCCCTTCTTTGGGTGGTCCATGAATAGACTTGATGGATACGGTGAAACATGTGAATCCATAGCCCTTTTTGGGTGGTCCATGCGTGAACTTGATGGATAATGTTTAAAGTCTTCATAGCTCAGTTTTGAGTGGTTTATCAATGATAGACTTGATGAAGTGACAACGTGACTGTGAAGGTGAGGCCACCTTCTATGAAAGAGTTATGGAGCCTCTTTCTAGAGCTTTCACGATGACCCAAGGTGTATGTGCATGGTCACTAAAAGCACTTGACAACTATTGCGGAATCAAAATCGAGGATTCAAACGTGTTGTGGGGGTCTCAACTATAAATACTGAAATTTCAAGAGGTAACTCACTTTCATTATTCAGGTTGTTGCCCTACTTCACTATGAATTAATTCAAATCGAAAGATATTAGTGCTTAAGTTTTATCCATTACTCAGTTTTTCGATCCATCTTCTTACTTCTTTTTCCTATGTTGTCATTTGTGGGGGATTGTTGAGAATGACACATTGTTTTGAACAATTCAAGGAAATGTGGATGACATAGCTTGTGTTGTGGAAGTCAAAGTAGCCAAATGACACATGGATGGCCCAATATTTTTGTTTTGTAAATTGAAAATCTATTTTGGGTCACTTGGTTAGTATAAATATGGGTCATTTCCTTCCAATTCAATCATCCCAATTGATCCCATCTCTCATTTGCAATTCCTCCGTTACACTCTTTTTCATCTTTCCACTACCTTAAACTGAGCACGAGATTGATTCCACTCCTATTCTGACGAGTGCACGTCTGAGTTGGAGGTTGTGTTAACCTTGGGGAGCATACCGACAGCAAAACGATTTAGCACCGAGGTCGTGCCGATTTCGCTTTCAAGGCAGTGGTTCCGCCCACGACACAACGTTTTTAGCTCCCGATTCAATTTTGTCCTTTATTTCCCAACAAATGCAATAGGAATGAGCAGCAACGAACGGGCTGGGTTGCGGCGAAATAAGGATGGCCATCAAATGTGTTGTGTGGGTGGGGTTGCTACGAGAACTGAGCAACAACCAACGAAGGGTTGGGTTGCGATAAAATAGGGACGGTTGATGATGTGTGTGGGCGGTACCGAGAGATAGGGTGAGGGGCAAGGGCGACGACACAAATAGGGAAATAATGGAGAAGGACATAAGCAAGAACAGAAGGGAGGGAGGAGGGAGGTGTCCATGAGAGGACCTAAATAGGTCGGTCGAAACTATTTAGGGGGTTTTCCCTATAAATGACCGACGGTTTGAAAAGTTCCAAATCGACTGTAGACCTATGGAATGCTGAAATTGACCGACCAACGTCGGTTCGATCAGTTTTGATCGATCGAATTAGTTTTTTTGGTATCTTATGTACACCTCTACTCTGAACGAAGGGTCATGAGTTCGGATCTCCAATTCCACATATGATTTTTTTTATATGCTATTTTTTTTAGTAGGGTGGCTACTCTTTCTATTTATCGTAGCTTATCAACATCTTTGGCAAATATGAGTATATATTAATGGGTCAAAATATTATTTACTTTCATAAATATTAACGATTTGAGCCCCACCTATTATTGCTCTTTGAAAAAAGAGTTTGATGACTACTATTATTTATTATTTATTGACTCTTCAAGTACACTTTTCTTCCCATAATTGTTATTTAAATTAATGCCGCACCATTCTTTTATTGATTATTGGCTCCCCAATTGTAGCCCTTGGAAGTAATGATATTTATGTTTGCAGTAGTATCCAACTTTAACATTCTTTTTTTCTTCTTCTTCTTCTTCTATAAAATGAATTATTTTGTTCAAATAAACTTCTAAATTGGTTGTCAACATTTAAAGTTTATATTTTAGTTTACAGCCTTAAAATATTCAATTATCTATTTTAATTATTTAACTCAAACAAAAATATATAATCATCATTTTGGTTATTATTTTTTCACTTAAAATTTTATCATTCAGTATTTGCTTCAACTAAGTTATGTGACAGCCAAAACCAACATAATTTAACGATTATTGACATATATCTCTAATCAAGAGGTTGTAGTTTAGTGATAATTGACATATATCTCCAACCAAGAGGTTATGAGTTCAATCCTCCACCCCCACATGTTATGTATAGATAAAAAAAAAAAAGCTAAGTTATGTAGCTCTAACCATTATGGATGGACCCATCTTATGTATTTCTTTGTCTTATACGATTATTAGAAGTATGTGTACAAGCTGACTCGAACACTCATGGATATCTATTATGCATATTAAAAATATATAAGTCACTATAGAGTGTTTGAAGTCAATTAACTGTTGTGGAGTGAGGTAGAGTTGATGAGTCTAACTCATGTTTAGGGAAGAATTTATGAACCCGAGAGTTGTGAATATTAAATTTACTATTCAACTTCTCACCTTATTTATCTCTCCCATCTCTTTCTTCATGCGGACCTCACTTATTCTCTCTATTTGTCTTTTTCTTTTTTTTTTCTTTTTATCAAACATTCATCCTCGCTCTTTTTTACTACCTTTTAATTTATTTAAACAATATTTTTTAAAACCAATTTTATCATTACTTAAATAAAATTTTAAAATTATACAATAAAAATCAATGGAAACAAACAATATATAATCATAGTAATAACTCATTTGATCTTTTAAAAGAAGATAACTCAAAATCTAAAATTTAGAATGCATGGAAACAAATTTTTATTAAAAAAATTATTGAAATCTAACTCTAGTTATAACAACTGTATTGAGAATAAAAAAAAGCGCATAGAAACTTAGCCTACTGTGTACCAAACACAAACTAAACAATTCTAACTCAATCAACTGTTACAGGTGGTTCACTGGTCTAAAGGGACTAAGATACAAAAGAATCAATTTGCAATCTTAGCTTTAAAAAAATATCGAGAGAGTGTACATTCAAACCACACAATGGCCACCTAAATGTCGTAGGATAAAGCGATTGTCCCATGAAATTAATCGAAGTACACACAAGTTTACCTGAACTCTCAATAAAAGAAATAGTATATATTTTTTACAATATATATGATTGGTGATTCGGATTTACAACTTTTCGATTAGAGAGATACTAGAGCTACATTAACCGTTGAGTTATGTTTGGTTCGGGGAATCACCGAACCCACTAATTGTACTACAAAAATAATAAAAGGAAAAAAAAAGATGGAAGGAGGAGATTAATGAATCCAAATGATACAATCAGGGTTCAAAATGTGGAGAGACGTCGAAATGTCAACATGCTCGTTATGGACATTGGGGGAAAAGTCGATTTTCCCCCCATGTCATCGACATGTCGACAAAATATTGACAAAATGTCGACATGTCAACTCAAACCTCGATCATAGTAATCTTAGTCTGTTTAATGAACATTCTCATTTTAATACTGTATAAAGTATAACTAATAAGATTTGAAATTTGCTTTAATAATTTCTAATCCAATCTAGTCTTTAGTTACACAATTGAACATAGAAATATTGACATATATAAAGATTGAAATAATCTTAAAATTTTTAAAAAGTAAAATATTTTTATATACAAATAGTGGTGAAACAGATGAAGTATAATAGGTAACTTAATTAATACCAAAAAGATGATCTCGGATCTAGTACACTATTTTGATAGTTCTCCCAAGTCATCATAGACGAAAAGTTTTGAAGGTAGTTGCTCAAATGAGTATAGTATGAAGCACATATTGATCACATTGGTAATTAATTTGGATGAATTACACAATCACGAAGTTGAGGTGTTTGAAAATAATGTAAATTTGATTGGAAAATTGAATTGATGATTGATTTGAAAATGTGTTTGAAAAATGTATAAATTCAAATTTGAAAAGAGAAGAGGTAAAAGGTAAACAGATACGAGTTAATTAGAATTTAGAGTTAATTAGAACTTAGAAATGCGTTTGGAAACCAAGTCGGTAATTATCTCATTTATAAATGAAACTTTACATATTCAAATAATTTCCATCAATCTTCATTAAAGGAAAAAATCTTTTTTTCGATATTTCTATCGACATCGACATTTTCATCAGTAAAATGATCATATTCTTACAAGTGATCAATTATAAGGAGCTACCATTCAAGTTTTATTTGTTAATTCAAAAAATTTCCATCAATTTCCATTATTTTTTTTCGAAATATACATAAACATCGGCATGTCCGTAAAATCGGGATATCTCGATATTTTCAACGAGATCAACATTTGGATACAATTTAGGTAATAGAGAATAGGAAAATGGGATTTCAGAGAAAGCAGAGAGCCAAATCCAGAGGTTGGGGAGAGAAGAGACTGAGAGGACACCTGCGATTTGGAAGATTTCCATATCCTTTCCCAAAAAGCAATCTGTCTCACTCTAATTTTTCTCCTTTTGTTTTGTTTCTTATTCACTTCACTCACTGCTTTCTCTCACAATTCTCGATTCTCTATTCTCAATTCTCAATTCTCTCTCCCCATTGACCTAAATCCACGCATTCTTCTCTCCAATGGTGGGCGACGGCCACCCTCCTCCTAATTCCGCTGCCTCTCCCCACAATTGTAACAACAAACCCAAAGACAAGAACAGGAAGAAGAAGAAGAAGCGCCGCGGGAGCAACAAGAAGATGACTTCCGACCAGGCTCTGGCCTTCAAGTACGTCACCGAGTGGGTGTTTTTGGATCGCTCTAATTCTCTTGCTTCCTCTGCTGCCTCCTCTGTGGTCGATGATTTTGGAGTGCAGAAGAGTCTCGGCAAGGGTGGGGACAAGGTGGTGTTCGAACTGCACTCCCACTCCAAATTCAGTGATGGGTTTCTCTCCCCTTCCAAGCTTGTTGAGAGAGCTCATGGAAATGGGGTCAGTTCTATTCTTATGCTTTGTTTACGTAAAACACTCACTCTTGAAATTTTGTTTTTGTGTCCTGTTTTCTTCCATTAACTTCAAATTTGCGTAGTTGGATGCAAAACATCTCTAAACACGCAGAAGAGCACATGGGTGTGGCTTCAGAGATGAAATCTTTGGATTGACAATGTACCCTGTTTCTACTGTTCAATTTCCTTGAATTGTCTGTTTCTATCTAATGTTTAATCGGGCTGCTTACTAAGTTGTTTTTAGTCTCGAGGGAAGTTGCTCGCTTGTGATTTCAAAGATGTTTTATCTTTTGGCATCAGTGGGTCTAACGGTGTAGCTCCTTAGAATGTGAAAGATGTAACTGTACTTATCTCATGGAAATGGAATTACGAGACTCAGCAATTTCAGAGATCTATACCTTCTCCTTGGCTTCAAATTTTATTGACCCAAAATCCTGGTTTTATTCCCTGTGGGAGATGCGGCAGCTTTGGCATATTCCAATGGCTTGACACCTATGAACAATAATATGGGGAAGAGAGGTAGAAGGTTTGAACTTACAGCTTGTGCTGAAAGTGCAGCGATCTGATATGTTCTGTTATTGATTTTCTTCTCTCTCTACCTCTCTACTTTGTTGTATCTTTCTTGCTTTCTCAACTTGGAAGGAATTCGATTTTGAGATTCAAAAAGTATGTATGCGGTATTGTACTAATGACTAGTAGCTATAAAATTCGCATGCTTTTCAATTCTAGCTCGGCATACACAGGGTATTGTCAGTGCATGAAATGCAATACTTTAGTTTTTTAACATTCCCAATTTCTTCTAAGTTCATAATTATTTTAAAATAAGAGTTTCTTCTAAACCTGTACCCATACTCAGCAGAGTGCAAATTCTTGATGTGTGAGATCCAGTGTTACATACGTGAAATTTAAACTTTCAAACATTCATATTCAATGCATCAATGCAACCTTTATCAGTGTGCTTGTTGTCTTAATTGTTTCTAGTATTACCTCATTTTCCTTATACTTTGCAGTCACATCTGTCAAGCGTTCTGCCTCTCGTCAATAAGCTCTCTTTTTATTTTCAATATGTGATGAAATATAGCTTTAGTTAATTAGAAATATGTACCAACAACAGGTGAAAGTTCTTGCTTTGACAGATCATGACACAATGTCTGGCATCCCTGAGGCTATAGAAGCAGCTCGTAGATTCGGCATCAAAATAATTCCAGGGGTTGAAATCAGTACGATATTCTCTACAAGGTGAATTTTTTTTCTTTTTTTACATTTCTGAACTGTGCATGCTGTCTTATACGATTTAATGTTTTGCATATCAAACTATCTTACACTCCATTAAGTCGCCAGTTTCTTCTGCTTCTTCTTCTTCCGTTTTTTTTTTGTTGTTTCCTTTTTCTTTTTGGTCCTTACAAACACCAATGAAAAAGCAGGGAATTTTGCTCTTTACTGTCTGAGAATTCTTGTGAATACCTTGTTGGAAAATATGTTGAATTGCACCATAAAATTGGTCTCCAGAAAAATTTTCATTTGCAGATTCTTTTGACCTTCTGATATCTGGAAACTGATGTGCAGTGGAAACCCAGAATCAGAAGAACCAGTACACATCCTTGCATATTACAGCAGTTGTGGACCAGCAAAGATTGAGAAGCTGGAAAAATTCTTAGAAAATATAAGGGAGGGGCGGTTTCTGCGTGCAAAGAACATGGTGTCAAAACTGAATGAGCTGAAGCTGCCTCTTAAATGGGATCATGTGGCTAGGATTACTGGTAAAGGAGTAGCTCCTGGGAGACTCCATGTGGCTCGTGCCATGGTTGAAGCAGGCTATGTGGAGAATCTAAAACAAGCATTTGCTCGTTACCTTTTTGATGGTGGACCTGCTTACTCAACGTAAATATCTGAACCTGCTTACTCAATTTTTTTGTCTTATGTGTAAATAATATGATAGCATTCCCTGTTATCACAACATTAAAAATTTAGCACCAACACTCTGGCGTTTGGTTTAAGCAGGGTATTAACATCCTCTTCCACTTGTTTCATTAGCATCAACATAGGCTAATCAATGGAGTTTGACAATATACGATATCGTAATTTGTGAAAACTATTATTTGAGCCATACATATGGTTTATGTTCGTAGAAGTGAAATAGGCAGTTAAAGTCTGAATTATGTCAATTTTTTAAAACTAGGTCACTTGTCAGTGGTCAGTGAATGCGCACATCAAATTTCTAAGTTATCGCCATGGTTGATTTTTCACTTTTAATGTATCAGCATCTAGTATTATTTCTCATTAATATTTAACTTATTGGGACGTGACATATATTCAGTTACTTTCGTACATGTGAAATATATTTGTCTGTTTATGATTACCATTAAAATGGAATGCCAATGTTAACTAGTAGTACAAGTCGAAGAAGGAATGCTAAGGTAACTACTTAAAATTCTAGGACATAAGAAGAGATCACTCAATTGGTCCTGGATTAGTTTTGGATAGATCTAGCCTGGCTGTCAATTTGTTCTCTATGTTCTATGCTTAACCTATGAGTTCGACTCTCTCTCTCTCTACTTGGTTGTTGTCTCGGATAGGAATTCTTGCCAGCAAAAATGTCTGTTATTTGGATTGGGGGAAGAGTTGCATCATCTTCTCCAATTTTTAGACTGCAACACTGAGGACAGAGTTATATTTTCAGGGGATCAGAGCCTTGTGCAGAGGAAGCAATACAAATGATACACGACACAGGTGGTGTGACCGTACTAGCCCATCCGTGGGCCTTGAAGAATCCTGTTGCCGTTATTAGAAGACTGAAAGATGCTGGCCTCCAGGGGCTGGAGGTCTACAGGAGTGATGGAAAATTGGCAGGTACACAATTCAGCCTTTCTTCTTTCTCTCAGCTCTTCACCAATATGCTCTTATTTATAGTCCAAATGAATTTTGGTATGCATTTTTTTTAATGTTGTAAGCATGCTATTTGGCCACGGGTGGTGTGACCTCAATCTCTCATACTTTTTAAGTATAGTTGTTTTTGGCGTATCAAATCATGTTTGTTATATAGGTATAGCAACATTTTGTCATAGTGAAATTATTGATTTTTATCCATATCTTTCAATTTTCTATTTTATTCTCTAAAATTTGCATAAAAACTCCATTTTAGCCCTCATTATTATTTTTATAAATGATTTAACAGAAAGTTAACACCGACAACCTTTTTGTTTATTTTCTCGACTAATGGATGGAAGTGTTTGAAAGCAAACGAATTTGGCTAAAATAGTTTTTCTAAGTGAAGTGTAGCGACTAAAATAGAGCACTTCAAGGTTGAGAAACTAAATCAAAGTATTTCACAGTCTAGAATTGATGAAATTGCATAGATCAAAATATGATATAAACCCATTGCTTCTTTTTTACCAGTTTAGCAGGCACGCTTTTGCTTTTCCACTATTGTAGTATGATCTGGCAAATTTGAGTCAAGCATGGCAACAAATATGCAGCTTATGGGATAATCTCTTCTCTTAATACCCTTGCTGAAAAGTAAACACCTTTAGAGTCTCTTCTCATATTTTCGACAGAAGAAGAACATGTCAACATCTTTCTTTTTGTGCATACAGTTTTCGTCTGCACGTGTTGCGTTTGACTTTATCTTTGCAGATCTGTTATCTAGAATCTTGTTATAGACGATCGGCATTGATTCGTATGTTTGTTGATTGACAGCATACAGTGACCTAGCAGACAGTTATGGGCTTCTGAAACTTGGAGGATCAGATTTTCATGGAAGAGGTGGACACAGTGAGTCTGAACTTGGAAGTGTAAACCTTCCTGTTCTTGCTATGCACGACTTCCTCAAGCTTGCTCGGCCAATTTGGTGCGGTGCTATTCGGGATATTTTAGAGAGTTATGCCGAAGAGCCTTCCGACTCAAATCTAGCAAATATTACTAGATTTGGGAGGACCCGGGTTTCAAAGAGCAGCTCTTCAGCGAGTAGCGGAGAGGACTTCATTGATCGTTGCTTGACTTCGTGGCTGACAAATGAAGAGAAGCAAAATGCTGAGTTTGAGGCTATCAGGTTAAAGCTCGCCCACGTTTCAATGAATCATCAGGAAGTTCAGGTGCCTTGAAGAAGGTAATACTTGCTTATCTAGTTAGGATTTAATCAGGTTTTTATCCTTGCTTTTGTTAGTTCTTTTTGAGGGGAAAGTAGGTGCCCGTAAACGTTCCGTTGAGGTTCAACGAAAAGCTCCCATCGTCTTAAATATATACTTTTTGTTCAAATCAATAAAACTTCATTCAATCTCTCAGGTCTTTGTCCATTGTTTTATACTATCTAGCAACATTTGTCTTGTTCATTTTATTGAATCTCATGCATATGACTGTTGAATGTAGATCATTCTTTTGGAAATGTTGACAAGGAATCTGGACATGTTGGAAGGTTTCAGCATTTGGCGTTTGAACTTTTTGAACTTTTATACCCTATTTATAACCTTTCGTTTTTTGTTTTCTGCGTTGAAAAAAATTATGCTTGATTTCTCCTTAACTTCTTTGTATGTTTTTCGCCTTCGGGAAAATACATTTAAAATGTTAGTTAAATTTCAAAAACAAAAATAAATTTTTAGAAACTACTGTTTTTTAGTTCTCAAATTTTGCCTAAGATTTTAAAAACGTTTTTAGAAAGTAGATAACAACAAAAAAAAAACACAAGTTAGTGCCTCTAAACTTAATTTTAAAAAATATAAATAAAAATAAATTGGATATCAAACCGCATCTAAAGCTCTTATAATTTAAAAAAAAAAAACAGCTACTCTGTATATTGCTATGGTCATGAAATTGTTCAATTGGAACAACAACAAATGTTATGAATTGTTCTAATGTATGTGTTGATATCGGTGACAATAATATCTACATGTTCGTTGAATGGGGATTCCAATAGTAACGATAATATTCTAAGATCTCGCTCATTGGTTAAGCTATATATTATTGACCAAAATATTAGAAGTTCAAATCTTCATTTCTAAGGGTTGAATTAAAAGAAAAATCATGTTCACTCATCTTTGATGTTTATAATCGTCCATTTCTTATTAATGTTGTTTATTTGCCTTAGAAATATGAATCTAAGTATATTATAATTTTTGTAATACAATTTCCTGACACTAACCAATAAAAAGGTGTATTTAACGTCCTAAAAAAAAGGTGTATTTAACAAAAAAGCTAAGGCTACATATTATCGGAAAACAAAATACTTTATAAAATATAAGGTAAGATATGATAAGATATGTATGCACGATGTCATCAGCTTTATCTAAAGCTACATTAATAAAGCTATTTTGATAAAGTTCTTTGTCTCTTTTGTTCGGTCTGTACAGGAAACTAACGTTTACTGTTCTAAATCTTCTACTGCAGTGAAGGTATGTTATGAGATTCATTGTAGTTCTCAAACTATGAAGAAGAAACATAACCATATATTAAGGTAAGGTATGATGTTCGAAATGAATATTCTTGAAAAGTAATTTCTCGAAAATTAGAAGAAGAATAAAGGTGAGCTTGTATTTGTGAAATAGCTTTAAGATCATGCTTCTTCTATTGGATGGTTGATGGGGACCGTTGACAGTTGCAAGGGCAGCACGATCTCTAAGTAAGATACTGTTTTCATGGTCTTACCTTCTTGCCTTCTTATCAAAACAATGTATCTTGTTTCTTATTTTTGTATTCACTTCATCGAATTGATACGATAAATTTTTGTTTGATAAATTTTTTTTAAAAAATTGTTTTTGAATTCCTAGTAAAAATTCTAAAAACAATATCTATATGTCTTATATATTATGTGACTTCTATATATATATTATGTTTTGTTTTAGGATTTCATAATTTTAGATATTACGTCTCCTCTTCACGTTCGAATCGGATCAGAATGAATTTGGCGTCTCGCTTTTATGTTAGACTCTCGTCGCTTCTTCAATTTATCCATCTCTTGCATAGCTCACCCTCATCTCTACCACGATTATAAAATCTTATTGTTGTGTTCGTGGTTGCAACCCACAAAAGATTGTAACCCGGTGACTCAACCCAATCCAAATCGAAAAATTTTAAGGGTTGAGTCGGGTCGGGTTGTCCACTTAATTCGGTTGTATTGAACCGGACCAATCCGTGAATTCTGGTGTATTGGGCCGGGCTTTCCGACCTCTACAGTCCACCGGACAAAAGTTCGGAATCATCAACGAGGAGTTCAAAGCGAAGCAGTTCAATCTCCATTAACCCTGGCGCCATGAGTCTGGCGCTCATCCAAGGCTATTCTTCAGCCGAAGATGAAGCTGAAGACAACTCTCTCCTCGACCGCACCTCTTCCGACGACGACGAAGATCTACCCACCGCCGCCGCCGCCGCCTCCTCCTCGGCTACCGTCAATCTTTCCATACGCGACAGGTCACTTTTCGAACTTCCACAGCCCTCCTCTCATCCCGGCTTGCCTTCCGCCTTCGACGCTTTCTCCGAAGTACACTTCTTTCGCTAATCCCTCTATCTTTTGTTTCTTCGCTACACCAAATTTGGAGGGCTGTGTTTTTCTTTTTTTTCCTTTTTTTTTCTGATTTTGTGATCTGCCGGCTACCGGAGGTTTCAGGACCGCCGGAGTTTCTAAATAATTCGGTCGAGGAGTACGCTGCAACGAAAGATGTCGATCAGCCGCGAGGGAACCATGGGGGTCGTAGGAATCGGAAGGAGAAGAAAGATTTGCCTACTGGTATGGGGTTCCTGATTTAGCATTACTTTTCTCTGTTTAAGGTGTCTTTTACTCTAATTTTTTACGGCGTTATTATTATAAGCTTCTTTAGGCTGCTAGGAAGTAGACTGCAAGCTAAGTGAGCTTTGGAAAACTAGGCTTGAATCTTTGAGGGACAGTTTCTGCAAGGAGCTGTCAGATAGAAAGGGAGAGAGGGGAAAAATGGGTTGGTTTGAGAGAACCTTGGCCTCCGGTTGCTGGTACTTTGAGGGTTCATCCGTCCTGTCATCAAAATGTCATGCAAAATAGTTACCATCTTTATTTTATCAATATATGACGTCAAATACAAAAAAGGGTAAACCCATAAACCCCATAAAATTGGAAATGTAGAAGCTATTCTCACTCAAACTTCAACTTAAATCATAATTCCTCTTCAAATTTGACATGGTTCTTCATATAGCCCACTTGTGAGGCCCTTGCAACTGTTTAACAATGTACTTGGATCAATAAAGGAATATAAAGCTCAAATGATAGAAATTAGTATAAAAAACAGTTATTTAAGAGCTTAAATCTATTGTTTGTGTTAAATTGGACGTGAAATCACTGATTTAAACTAAAGGTGTGATCTCAAGTATTTAAACCCAAGAGGAGTTGAACTTAGAATCTAGAGATAAACAAACATTGAAGTAGCGGGTCTTTAGTATGGGACTATGGGGCAACCTTTCAATCTATCATTTTATGATTCTTTTGGCAAACCACATATGCTCATTTCACCACTAATGCTCTAGCAACTTAGATGTTACCTTTTTTCTTTCTTCATAGGTAACTTACTTTGTAGATTGTTGCCAATGAATTACATGTTCTATCACCATATTACACAAGGGTATAGCAACTGATATCATTGAAGCTGCTGCACTCTTATATTGATTTACAATGTTTGCTTGCCGAAACAGGCCACTTATTCATAATAGACTTGGATTTATTTTATAAGCTAGCAAAACCTATTTTAATAGTTAAGCCATAGGCCTTGTGCAAAAGCTAGATGCGTTGCAATTTGCAATATGGCTGTCTCTAAACCTCTTAATTACATTATGCAACGTGGACTTTCTCTCCATGCCCATGCTTCCATTTTTTCTTTTGTGATCCGTAGAGACTAAGGTTGGAGAGAGTCCAATGTGATATATTCTCATTATTAAAGTCTATATATATAGACAAATATACAAGGTTGACCTAATCCTATAAGGAAAAGGTAAAGGACAAATTAATATCAATACAAGAATATAAAATATACTAATATCTATACTCTAACACTTCCCCTCAAGTTGGTGCATATATATTAATCATGTCCAACTTGTTAGACAAACAATCTATTCAACTTGTGTTATGTGATTTTTTGATATCATTGGGATCACCTCAGAAGTTACGATTGATTTCTTCTCAGCCATAACAAACAAACGAACTTATTTGAACAAAACGATTGGACCAGACCAAACCACCCGAACCAAACAAAACAGATGAATCAAACTGCTGGAACCAAATCAGATTAGGTGTTTGCTGAAACCAGAAACCCTAAGTGCTACCCCACGACAACCAGAGGGGCGAAGGCGACGGGTGGAGAATGGCGGTGACGAAAGCACACGGCGACGGCGATTGGCGGGGAGACGAAACCCACGAACAGAAATCGGAAAACAGCAGAGCTGGCGAATCAGCAAACGGCAGTGGGCGGCAGCGGCGGCGGTGGTCGGCAGTGGTGGTCGAGCAGCGGTAGTAATGAGTTGAGTTGGATAGCAATGAACAAAACCCTAAGGGACAAAACCCTAATGAGCACAAAACCCTAATGGGGAAGAAACCTAGAGCTCTGATACCATGTAGAGACTAAGGTTGGAAAGAATCCAATGTGATATATTCTCATTATTAAAGTCTATATATATAGACAAATATACAAGGTTGATTATAGGATTAGGTAAAGGACAAATTAATATTAATACAAGAATATAAAATATAAAAATATCTACACTCTAACATGATCAATACTTTTCCTCATGAATCTGTTATTCTGAGTCTTTGACAACAAAAGAGTAGGAGATATTTCCAATGATTTTTGGGGAAGAAGAGGAATTTGAAATCTAAGTAAGATTATACTTAGTTTGAAAGTGTAGCTGATTTTCTACTTCTTACCTTTCACATGAATACCACTTTCACTTCTATTTGCATGGTTTATGGTTGAAGATTAATAGGAGGTCTGGTGCTTATAGCAAATGACCAATTAATACAGTCTTCTTTGAATGATTGACGTGATGAGGGGTTTTTTGGATGCTGTCGCACTGACATGATAAGGTTAATATTTCATTTTCAGCTCCTGTATGGGATATTTAATGTAATGATTTGTCTTGTTTTTGTAGGGCGCTTGAGAATTCTTGTCATGGACTATTTTAGTTTCGGCTGTCTACTAGTGATGTTAGGCCATATTTTGAATGTTTTGTTAGTCTGGAAGTAAATAACTATAATTCTTGGTAGAAATTTTAGCTGATTCAAATACGTTAAGTAGTTTTCTCAACTTGAATATGAAAAATGGATAATGAACAAATAGATGGTCAATGAATTTGTACTTTCAAGATTAAGAACAAGTGCTTGTATCTTTTCTTGCAATGGGTCGCTACTATTTAACAGTCTTATAGCTACTGATCAATCTTTTTTTTTTCCCTTCATGAAGAAACCAACTCTAATTGAGAAGAAAGGAAATAATACATGAGTGACAATATATATACATAAAAGATAGCCCAACAAAAGGAGTGAAAAACAAAGGAAGGAACAAAAAGCTACCAAGCTGCACAATGAGAAAAAACAGGCTTCAATTGGAAAAAAGAGATCAAGGGTAATCACAAAAATCCTTAGTAACCAATATGTAGACAGATGCATTGAGCCTAGCCAATGCCCAAACCTCCTCTCAAGAGCTATCCACATCACTAATGACCCTCATATTTCTTTCAAGCTAGATGTTCCACAAGACTGCAGAGAAAGCAACATGCTGAAGAACCATCCCTCTATCTTGAAAGAGAGGGTGGTATAAGATCTTCTCCATCATAGCCCTGCAAGAACTGTTAAGAGTCATCTAGACACAAATGATGTAGGTTGAATAATATAAGGTCTCCAAAATATTGTTCTAAATTGTCACAGAAAACTGACAATCCCATAAAACATGTCCAAACTTTGTGAGTCCTTTCTTGCACATGCTGCACCATTGAGGCCTCAGGCCCCAACAAGATAGAAGATGATCTCAGGATATGATCATTGGTGTTAATTCGGATGTGGAAAATGTACAAGGCAAGGAATCTAACCTTCTTGGGAATACATGCCTTCCAAATTTGGGAGAATAAAGAGGAAGTGTGGGGTGGGACTCACATGAGAGAAAAAATCGAGATGCACATTAACTCCATAGAGGGATTAAGGGACTAAATGAATGTCCCTGGCCCCCAAGCAAGGACATAATATGGCCAACTATCCAGAGAATTGCAATTAGATAAGGACGACTACAATTATAAATGACAATAAGGACTCCTCAAGACGAATAAGGGTAGAAGCCACAGGGGCAAACTTAGATAAAGACAATTGATAGAGCTACAGTACAAACCCAATAAAAAAATTGGATCCTTTGGTAATTTGTGTAATCTGGCTTTCCAAATCAACCTTGAAAGGCATCAATTTGTGCTAATTTGGCTTTCCAAATCAACCTAGAAAAGGCATTTATTTATCCCTTATTTTGTCTCCCTTTCAGAAAAGGGAATGGTTCCTTATTGTCTAAGAAGCATGGACACAGATGTGGCCACATAAAACACAAAGACAACAGGGACATAGGCACATGACATGCTGGATATTGAGAAACTTAGACACAAACACATGTCACAGATATGTTGATCTGTGGGGAAGTCTATGAAACTAAAAAACAATATCTTTCTTTGCTAAGGCACTTGCTGCAAGGAACATATGTTTGATGCAAACTGCAACAGTTGTGACACTGGAGGATACTGCCCTGAATAAACTTGCTTGGTCAGTGATTTGGAAATTATGGTCGTGGTTCATAACACCTTGTAATTGGTGGTTGAAAATTTAAGACTGTATGAAAATAATTTATCAAATGCAACCATATTTATGTCTAATCATTTATATTTTTAGTCATATACCGCAGGCTAGTATTACTTAATGCCAAATGGATTCTTCGTGATTTATCAAGATGCTTGTTAACTGTCTGGATATCTAATTGATATTGTTACTATAACGGTTCTTCCTTATATTTTTTGTATTTGGACCTTTGGTACATACCCTTGTTCATGTGAAGGCCGTAGGAAATGATGGCCTGTGCATCCACTAGTAGCATGACAATAGAATTGATTGACATCTTCCTTGAAGTGTTGGTGCAGTGGCACTGGTTTCGATGTTTATGCAATTAGAATTTGGCCTGGAAGGAAGAATAAGTGGTATAATCAGCAGTAATTTATTAAATTATTTGCAACTATGCGGGTTGATGTTTGGAGTCTACTAGGCTGTTTGATTGTAGTGTTTTGTGTTCATACCATTTTTTGTCAACTGAAGTAGATTCTACATTTTCTCATTATTACTTCTTTGATAACCTTTCACTGTTATCAGGTGCTGTACTGGAGGCAAAAGCTCAACTAGTTGGGATTCATGAACGAGTAAGGAGTGATGTTGAGAGTAATCAACCATCAAATCCATCCATTTCAAACGCAACACAGGAAGGCAAGCGTGTGGCAACTGCAGCCAATCCAAATGCTGAAGACGCTGCAGAGCTACTGAGGTACATTTATTGTATTTTCAAAATTGTATCCTTGTTGAATGACATTATTCCACTCCTTGGCAGTCTGCATTTACACCCACACACATGAGATTCTGCTAGTGGTTTCCACACACACGAGGTGAATCAAATCCATTCTGCTCTTAAATGTTCGTAGGTTTTATTTATAAATTTCTGGTGCACATGTTGGCATTTTACAATGGTATCATGTGATTCTTTTTACAGAATGTGCCTGCATTGTGGCATTCCCAAGACCTTTTCAAATGCCCGAGGGATGTTTTGCCCTCTATGTGGTGATCGTCCTCCAGAGCCGAACAGCGAGACTAAAAAGAAGGGTTCTACAGTCAAAGATAAGGAAAAGGTAAAGAGAATGAGGGGACAGTCATCTCATGCTACTTGGAAGAGCGAAACCGAGATGCATCTTAGACAACAGTTTGATTAGAGTATTTCAGATACATTTTCTTTGAGCTCTAGGAGACTTGTAATAGTGTGCCAGGACTATTCATATTACTGTATGATATTATCATCTAAGATTGATGTAATTTAATGGTGTTACCCACCAAAATACTTCCTTGCAAGTTAGTGTTGACTTTTTCCATGTTACTTCCTCTCTTTCTCACATACAGAATCTGCCTTGTCACACAACTCACCTCCTCGGACGGTGGCAAATGTCAAACACACAGAATCCGCTCCATCACGTAGCTCAACCTTATAGAATGACGTCGAATGTCATCTGTACCGAAAACCAATTGGTTGGATAGCGAGGTAAGTGACTGTTAGGTAATTTGCTTGATGACTTCAATCACACGGTAGTGTTCTTTCCAAACAATCACTTGAAGTTGTACCGAAGTTGTACTTTCTATTTGTTGGTGCGAATTAAGCCTGATAAGCACTTGTTTACTTCTACCGTTTTTAGGCTGTCCAAGGCTTCTTGCATGGTGTTGCTTCTGTTTAGAGTACTCCAAATAGTTCTACTATTCTTCGTTTGGCTTCTTTGTGTTTCCCCTTTTTCGGCTCGTATTTGCAAAGATGGTCTTGTTTGTTGCTTTAGTCTACTATTTGACACGAGAGCGACATGGAATTGAGAATCGTAGCTCTATTTGAAAATCCAAATAATATCGAGGCAAATGTCAACCAATGAATTGATGTTCGTTGTTTGTTATGAAGATGCTCGTGTATTTCGAATGGTGTGATCATGTTTTTTCAAATGAAGACATGGGAGAATGACTCAACTTCGACCCCTTTGGTATGACTCAACTTCGACCCCTTTGGTGAAGTAGTTAGTAACAACTAGAAGCCGTCTCTTTGAGCGGAGTTTGTCGATCAATGACTATAACATATTTATTTCTTGTTGCATGAATGATCACAAAATTAAGATAGGTTCCAACAACTTGAATCTTATAAGTTTGCACATGAGAAGCTTGTGAATTGAAGTCCTTTTTCCAAAAAGCTTGTGAATTGAAGTCCTTTTTCCAAAGTGATCGTACCTAATGACATGTCGGACATTCATTTTTATCAGCACTTCCATACATTTACGAGTTTTACATCAATTTGAAAGGTGAAAATCATAGTATATAAAAAAAATTGACAAAATATAAAATATATATATATCTCAACAAAATATCTTATATGAACATAATATTAATATTAATAAAATTTAACATAAAAAGTCTATTTGTTATGAAATTTTTATTTTTGTAATTTTTTAAAAAATATCTATAAAATTGAGATTTTGACATTTCTATCAACATCAACCTTTAAAATATTAGTTATACAGAAAATTAATGGTAGGCAAATGTGATGTATTTCATATATTTTTTTAATCAATGTCCCACCTCAAAAGTGTAAAAATATTATTAAATTAATATATGTAAAAGGATTATTAAATTAATATATTTTGCATCAACGTGTTCACTCTTCACTGCATGTAAGAAATAGAAGGAAAAAGTGAAGAATGGCCACTCTCACGCTGCCCGATCAGCTTCCTCCGATCGCCGAAGACTGCAAGCGCCTCCACAAAGCCTTTCAAGGTCTCTTTCTCCCTAAATCTCCTTCAACTTCTTGTCCATCAACTCATTTTTCTCAACAGTTTTCAAATTCCGTGGTCGTGTACTGCTTGTTCATTGCTCCGATTTAATACACCAATTGCCTCAACCGCGTGAAATCGAGAACTGAAATTGGAGTGCCTGGTTTTGTTTTGTTACAATTTTAGTCATGTGCCTACAATCTCAACAATTTGTCTTCTGATTTAGGTTTTTAACGATTCTACTACCCTATAATGCTTTGCATTTCGATTCTTATGGTGAATCTTTGTTGCATTTAGACTCTAATAATTCCTACAAGTAATTGTAATTTCACTTCTACTGAAGCGCTGTGGCAGTTAGTGTTCTTAAGATTATTAGGAAAATCTTAATTATTTTTTTTTCCGCCTTTGTTCTTAAGATTTTTATATCATAACTATATGTAAGAGTGTTGATTTGTGTGAATTATTCTGGTTTAATTATATGTAGAGCTCCATATTTTGTCTCTTACTGCAGGTTGGGGAACAGATGAGGAGACGATTATATCCATATTGGCTCACAGAGATGCTACACAGCGAAGTCTGATTCGAGAAATCTATGCTGAAAAATATGGAGAGGATCTCTTGAAGGAACTAGACAAAGAACTTTCAAGTGATTTTCAGGTTGGAATTTGGAATCAGGCCTTTCTTTTGTTTTGATTGAACGTAAATTTAGGCTATTTAAACCCAGTTTGTTGAAGCATTTTTTTCTGTTCCACACTCCAATTTTTCAAAAGAAGACAAAAAAAGGCTTTAAATGATATTGAAATCTTCAACATGAAGAATAAGATAAAATTCTGGAAAAGAGAGCTGAAACTATTTGTCTCCTTCCATTGACAGAGAGCTGTGCTTTTATGGACACTGCATCCTGCTGAACGTGATGCATTACTAGCTAATGAAGCAATAAGGAAACTTAAGCATTTTGTTATATTGGAAATTGATTGTACTAGAACACCGCGGGATCTATTTATAATGAGGGAAGAATACCACGCGGTCGATTGAAGAAGACGTTGCACATCACACGCCAGGTGATTATCGCAGGGTAAGACAATGCTTTGATCTTAATTTCTTCGTTTCTTACAGATGTTTCTGCAATTATCTATGGTTTTCTTGACACGAAGTGCATGTTAGATTATTTGCATTTCGCTTTCGATTTTCGACAGTTTGCCAAACTGTTACAAACGATTAGCTTACATCTTTCCTTTCTAACTTTCCTCTGCATTCCGAGCATATTCACTGCAACAAAGAATTGACATAATACTCCATGCTTAAAACCAACATTGAAATTGTGGCTTGTCATTCCATATTACTTCTGTTTCTGAATGCAAATACTCTAATATATCTAATTATCAAACACTTTCCTTAATGTCTAGTTACATTTCTGAAAGTCACTATCTTTTTTATTCAGCTTCTGGTTCCTCTCGTGACTGCATACCGATATAATGGTCCCGAGGTGAATGCTACCCTAGCCACATCAGAGGCTAAAATACTTCATGAAAAAATCTCAGAGAAAGCTTACAACGATGAGGAGGTCATCAGGATTCTCAGCACTAGGAGCAAGGCTCAACTTAATGCTACATTGAATCATTACAATGACCAATTCGGGAATGCTATTAACAAGGTTTGTCTGTAATATTTATGCCATATCTCATCTTTTAATTAACTTTGGCTATCATCAATAGTTGTTATCCAACTTGTGATGCAGGATCTAAAGACAGACCCAAACAATGATTACCTCAAATTTCTGAGATCCGCTATAAAGTGTCTAACTTGGCCCGAGAAGTACTTTGAGAAAGTTATCCGATTAGCCATCAAAGGACTTGGAACTGATGAGGAGGCTCTGACCAGAGCAGTAGTGACACGAGCCGAGGTCGATATGAAACGCATCGTCGAAGAGTATTATCGGAGGAACAGTGTCCCTCTGGATCAGGCAATAAAAGGCGACACCTCGGGGGATTATGAAAGGATGCTTCTTGCTTTGACTGGTAATGAGAGTGCTTAAGCCAAGAGCCAGGTCTGAATTTGTTAGATATGTGTTGTGTGTTTTTGTTTTAAATAAGGTATAGCCATCTACGTATTCTTGTTCTATGCTGCCGTGCTTTATATTTGGACCTTCACTGGTGGCGGATTCCTTTAGTATACATAAAACGATAAAAAAAATTTAAATAAAATATTCATTGGTTTAAACAAACTAATTTAATGCAGTGCTCTGACTTCTCATGAAATACGGAATGTTTATTTCGATAACGAAGGAAGTCGTATTTCCGGGGGCCCGCACAAGCGGTGGAGCATGTGGTTTAATTCGATGCAAAGCTTCTTTAATGGTTTATCCTAGGTTCACAAGTTCATGGTATCTTGATGAATTTTAACTTCAAGTACTCATAACAAATAATTGTTGTCATTGATGTCAAGAGCAACAAACTTTAGTTTATTAAGATTTGTCATGGTAACACTATTATAGAGAAATTTATTTATATTAGGAATTTAATATATACCAAACATGAAAAACAAATAACTTATTCGAGAAAAGAATATGAAATAACCTACCTTTAGTAGGAAAAATAATTGAGGCTCGTGTCGATAACGTCGTAAAATTGATGAGCAATATAGAAATGGAATTATGAACAATTTAACCTGTGTGTCCCGATTGGAGATCGAAACAGATATTTTAAAGATATTTTTATCCTTGCCGTTGACGTTTAAAGACATACGATAAATTTTTTAACCTATTTCTCACTTCAACTAGCCATCTTGCTTTTATTCTAACTTGTTGACCTTTTTCTTTTCGATTTGCATGTTTTTCAAGAATCAAAATCCACTCAACAACGTGCAAGTAACAAAGTTTTTCAAAAATTTCTACACCAAATGTGAGAATTCAGGCCAAAGATTTTAAGAACGTTTTTTTAGTAGATAACTTCATATGTTAACTACGTTACAGTTGACCAAAAATTTGAAAAACTTAATTTAAAGATTTGGACAAATTTTATAAACCCAAAAGCTTTTAGAGTCGAACAATTTCCTACCAACTTATGGCAATCAAAATAAAATAAAATATGAACTAAAAAGAATTTGAAAATGGTAATTTAATTTTGATTTTTTCACTAAAGAATTTGACTTTGTAAGACATATGGCATAGACACCCGTCCTAAGAACAATATCGCGAAGAAAGCACTTCTCGAATGCAAATGCATGATCGGATGGGTTCTTAGCTCCGATCCTGTAGTCTCTCCACGGATCATGAAGTTGAACGATAATTGAATAGCGAATTTGCGAGCGCAATCGAAGAAGATTCGGATCATGGAGGACAAGGGTAAAGGAACGGACAGATGGAGCGGTGCTGTAGCCAATCTCACAGAGATGGCTTCCAATTTGGAATCACTCCAGAAGCTTCTACTGAAGAAAGCCGTATATGTGGACGACGAGACGTTTGCCAAAGCTTCGTTGTGCTCCGAACAAGCAAGAACGATCAAGGTTACTTGACGCGATCATGCTTTTTCTTGTTTTGTAGTTAGGTATTGTTCTGATATCTGGTTTGGAATTTCTATTTTACCATTTGAAATTGGGGGGACTGAGGGATTGGTGGGATTTCTGGAGGGCATTATCGAATGGCCCTCGTATGACCAATGTAAATGTTATTTTTGAATGCTATATACAGAATCGGAGGGGTTTTTGGCTCGCTCGGGGTTTTCTGGTTTTTGTAGTTAGGTACTGTTCTGATATATGGTTTGAAATTTCAACTTTTCTATGTAAATTGGAAATTGGGGGGTTACTCTTCGATGAGATCCAATCCTGTCAAGCGGCCATTTGGAAGGTGGAGTCTTGGAAGAACAAGGAGGTACATGTACACCTGATCTTCGAAGACCTTAATATTTTGAAGAATTTCTTGGAGAAATGGAAGCACTGTGTAGATTTGAGAACTTTCTCCAAAGGGGAGTGGAAGGAGACTGCTAGTGTCCAGGTAAGAGGTGACGAATGTACTCTTTGGGCGTGGAAAATTCAAGGATAAGTTAAACGTTCAGTTTGTCCTTTACGAACCAAATAGGAGAGCTTGTGGAGCATTGAGAAAGTTATAGCACTACAACTCCATTTATGAATATGTGGTTGAGTTTACAAATGTTGATGCTATGCTAGAGATCAAGATAGTGTTGCAGGATGACACTACTTCATTCTTTTATAATTTAGGTATGGAGGTCAGGCCTCACTCCTTTCATTATGCTTATAGCCCACTACATTAATTTCCAGGGACGATTTTCTCAAGGCCAGTGCTGGGAGATTAAAGGTTTGAAATTATAAGTTTTCCACTTGAAAGCTTGAACCTAGAATCTTGGAGGGTATCTCCAAACATCTCAACTCCGGACCACTAGGACACCCTTGGGGTCGAGTACTCCAATTTAATTATAGGGTTTCTACCTCAGGCAAGCAGAAGCTTAGATAAAATGTCAACTGCATGGAACATAGAGTAACCTATGGGAGTAGAAAATGGGTTGGTGTGGACCATGGAACCTCTTAATGGAACAGAGAACAGGAAGATGCATGTGGTAGTGCTTTCTCACTCAAGAGAGTAAGAGGTAAAATGTGCCTCATCTATGGTTTATGACTCCCAGATGCCACTTAGCAACTCATCTCATTGCCTAAGAGTGAAGAATGTGTATGAATGAATAAGGGCATGCTACTAGTTACCACGTGGGGCCCAGGGGAGGAGCCCATGAGTCACATTAATTGTCTTCTGATAGAAAGGATTTGGGATAGCTGTTCATCTCTTCCTCCTTTGTTTGTTCACATAAGGGGTTCGGATCCCGATTTTTGACATCTAATTGTTGGCTACTTTACGCTCCCAAGGAGCAGCCCAAATGGCAAGGGCTTGGTCTCTCTTGGTCATACTGGCTGAGACCTTCAGGTTAGAACCTTCTAATGAGCTTAATACCAAAAACCCTTGATGTCTCCCGAGTCCGGACTTTGGGGCGGGCGTGGGTGCCCTTGGGTATAGGGGAGCAAAGCTCCGACTCCCAATTATAAAAAAAAAAAAAAATTGTTGGCTACTTTATTGTTGGCTTCTGAACATGTTCCATTTTGCTTTTACCAATCTTCTTTCTACCATTTAGATTGTAATGATCTGGGAAATCATTGTTTTTACATCACACCCCACCATATTATAGATGATAAATCAAGGATCATATTACATGATCTTAATTGATTCTCCTTTTTGAAATTACATGCTGTTCGGTTTTTTGGTTTGTTGCTGATGTGTGATAAAGTTGTGCCAACTGGTTATGATAACCAAAGAATCTTTTGCTAGGTTCTCGAACAAAGGGTTGAGACTTTGGAAAGGGAACTTGATGCTGCCATCACTGCTGCTGCTCATGCTCGTTCAGAAAAACGTCAGGCTGAGGCAGCTCAAAAGGCTGCTGAACTACATGTGAAGGAGGTCACTAGAGAGCTCGAGAACACCACAAGTATGGAATATCTTACCCTTTCCCATCTTTTAATTGTCTCAACCTTAGGTCTTTTTAATTTCTAAAAGGAGTATTTATTGAAGCACGAGGTTTTGTAGACTGGCTGTACTCAAACTTTCCCAAGTTCAGAAAGATTTAAATATTATTCTTCCACATTTTATTAGCATAATTTTCTTATGCATGCAGACATTTTATGCTGACTAACATAATCAATCTGGTGAATTAAATATACTCTTCTTTTTTTTTTTTTTTTGGGGATAAGAAACATACTCATCTATTTGCAAGGAACTTATTTTTGAGATAGGAGACTACAGATAGAAGCCTAGGAATGTACAATAAGATAGATTGCTTATAAAATCTACGTTGGCAGGATACATTTTAATTGGCTCTTAATTCTTCAACAATTCTGTGCACCAGTATCTTTATAATAAATAGGAGTGGAATTATGATGTTAGGAACTTGATAACTTAATTGCGGTAAGAATGAGACTACTAGCTATAATGAAACTGCTGGATACTCCTGAAAATTTTACTATAGCTTTCTTCTTCTCTATTACACTTGAAATCAGCAGTTTTACAGACAACTATTTGCCCCTGATAGTATGTGGGGGGCTGGTTGTGATGTATCAGATCCTTGTGGTTGGAAACGACATTGTGATATATATAAATGTTATCAATTCTGGATTTCATAAACGTCTTTGAGTCATTTTTTTCTTATTACACGCTTCTAAAATTGTATCCGGGGTTACCTGTTCTTGGAAATTTTTCAAATTTGGATTTCTATTTTCCTTCTTAGAACCCGCCAATATTAAGCAAACAAACAAAGTATTTAGGTCCAATGTCTCATTTCATTTTGTTATTTTTCAATGGGAAACGAACTATTATTTAAGATAAATAAGTACTGTCTCATTTCTTTGCATTAGTTTGTAAGAAAGCACTCAATCTTCTGCAGAAAAGAATAAGCAGAGGTTTTAGTTTAGTAGGCTGTTATTTTAAGTTGTGGTTGAAGTCGATCTCCACCTCATATTGATGATTCTTGCTGCATTATGATGGAATCAGTTTTGTTATATTTACATATCACTAAAATTCATTATTTTCTTGTAATAACCAATCATTACAGCTAAGGGCTAAATATTTTATAAGGTAACCTTTAAAGAGTGAAATTATTACCTGTTTTCTTAACATTATCCATTTTGTTATAATTTGGAGAAATTTGAGATAATTTTCCTATATTTTTTATTTGGATGATCTTTGGTGTATGTTAATTATACAGGTACGGAGAACCATCATGGTTTGGTCTGGTGGTCAATAAGGGTCAATGTAAATAGTAAATAGTAAAGGGCTTCTAGGGATGAGTCCAAACCATGGTGGCCACCTACCTAGGGTGTAATATCCTATGAGTTACCTTGGAAACAAATGTAGTTGGGTCATACGGTTGTTTTGTGAAATTAGTCAGTCAAGGTACGCGCAAGCTGATATGAGCACTCACGGATATAAGAAAAAAGAAAATATATAGGTAGGGAGGTTATCTTGGAGTTATTCTTAGTCTCATATGAAGACATCTAACTTTTATGGAGGTGCGATAACATAAAAACAAAATTTAAAATTCAAATGGAAACTGAGATTTCAATGCAAGAAATTTATTAAATTGGCAATCATTGTTCTTCAGTGGCACTGTACCATAAGAAATCTCCACAAGGAAATAGGTGTTCTTTAAAATTGCTCTGTTAAAGTTGAAGTTAAAGTTGATACTGCAGAGGTTTGGTTGTGGACTAAAAATAGGTTATTGATTGCTATTGTTGCAGAGGTATTTCAACTGCATATGGATGAATTGCGGGCAAAGCAAGAGGAAATTGACAAACGTGATAAGGATATTAAGCTCTTGGAAGCAATAATTCAGACTCTTGGTGCCAATAAATGACGTTCACAAATGTGTAAGGATTTTATTTTGATAATTAGAGCCTTACTTTCCTTTTTTTGTGTAGTGGAGGATCTGATTCATCTTAATCAAATTATGAGCATATTTATATTCCTTCTTTCTTTGAGATTGGATGTTTTTGTATTTAAGAAAAAAAAAAAACAATAATTAGGATCATGGTGTATAATATATTATTTTGAATTAGTAGAGAAATATCTAGTATTTAGAATATGGATAGGTAAATTAAAATTACATTTGATTGGATAGGTAATTCATGGAGTTTTTGAGCCCTACTGCATTCTATTTTAGCTTTTTGTTTCCAAAATTGATTTTAAGAATTAATGTTTTTTAATTGGAAAGACGTTATCATATACTTGAAATTATTATTTAGATTCGATGATCTTAGGACAAATATTTTGTTTAATAACAGAAATAGGTCAATGATGAAAGCAAACTGAAAAGCCAAAGAGAAACCAATTTCTTAAACATAACAATTAAAATAGTTTTCTTGTCGATTCTATTCTAATGGGTAGAAAATAATGTTCAAAACAGGAGTTTTGTTGGAAATTTGGATTCTGTTTTTTGTTGGTAGAAATTCTGGAAACGACTTTTTCTATGTTTTCAGATTCAGAATTTGAAAATTTTAGAATGAATTACCTTAAAAATGATAAAAACTTTGATAAATATATTACAATTAAAAAATGTAAAATATAATGTATTCTAAATTATATAACTTTGTAAAATAATAATTATATAAAATTCATAAAAAAATGTTAATAAATTAATTAATATAAGTTTAGATTAAACTAAAATTTAGTTTGTAACTACTCCTAGTTTACCAATATTTTACTAAATATACATTGAACATCCCGGAGATTCTCTTTCTTTGGCCAACCTTTTTTTAGAGGGAGTAATAGATATCCTACTAAATTATGGATTTCTCTTGGAGCAATAAGTTGAAACTTGCTCAAGAAAATCTTTCTTAGTAATACAATAACAAAAAAGCCCACAAAGTTTTACCAAAGCAAAACCAAACCTCCCTAAACATGCAATTTGATGTATACTTGGCTAGCTCAACACCTCAATAATTATAGTAGAAATGGCAGAATTAAAAAAAAAAAAATCTAACCGAACAAAATTTTAATGCTAGATTAGAAGAAATAAGTTCAAACTCCATGGTAACCACTACCTAGGATATTAACATCCTACGAATTTCTTTGGCAATCAAGTGCTGAAGAGTCAAATAGTTGTCCTGTAAGATTAGTTGATGAGTTTGCAAGGTGATCAAGACTGATATGATCATGAAGAGTCAAATAGTTGTCCCGTAATTAGTTGATGAGGTTGCAAGGTGACCAAGATTGATATGATCATAATTGGCGACGACTCCTTTGACTCACCAAACACTAAAACGAGGCATGGACAAGTCATGGAGGCTCCACAAAGGTAAAAGATTCATTGGAACTCAATGGAGTTTCAAGAAGGGTCAAGGGCCCATTCTACAAGAATGGCGCCCAATGCACAATCACACGCCCAGTATCATGGTCAATGTTCGTCCAAGACTTGTTGCCCATGGATGCATGCCCATAACACTCTCTTCCGTGTTAATTTTATGTCATGTATTTAATTTTCTATGTTATTTACTTTTCCTTGTATTTTTGGTGGCGAGTAACTCCTCGCCACTTTGTATGTTCACAGTCATCATACTACATTTGCCTTATAATGTACTATAGAAGGTACACCTAGCCCCTTTCCTACCTTGAGTTGTATGTTTACTTAGCTATTGTTTACTCTCTCTGTTGCTTTGAAGCCTACAACATGATTTTAAATATATTTTCCAAAACCTCTTCCCCTAACCTGGTTTTCTAAAACCATTTTCTCGAGAACGGGGTGGAGGTTGTGAGATAGGGTTGTTGTACCGTCGGGAGTCCCATTTCGAATTTGTTGAATTGTTTGTAGGTGGAAACAAGTGCTGCATAGTCGCCTCGTAAGTCTTATCAAAAGTGTGATTGTGACACCCAACACGCACAGTTCCTGTGCGCTAACATTGCAAGCGTACGCTCCATGTGTGCGTGCACCAGCACCACCGTCCAGCCCCTACCACACACCCATTAGCGTGCCTAGACCTACCAGTGCACGTCACTGCTTGCTTGTGCCCCTGCTCACACGCCTGTGCATGCCAGAGCCCACGCCATGCTTGCCTACCTGCGCATTTGGCTTGCCCCCACCCTCAAATAAGGAAAATTCTTCCTTGTTTGTTTTGAAGACATTTTAATATTTTTTCTTAGATTTTTGCCTTTAGCTTTTCTCTTTTAAGTTGAATCTCTTCTACGATTGGACTCTAGTGGCTAGTGACTTCGTTGTTCATACACTTGAGTTGTCGCGTATTAAAGAAAACTTCAATGTTAGATTTGCAATAAGTTTGGTCACGTTGATGCTTTTGTTAAATATATAGGATCGAACCTCGGGCATTGCTCACTAGGTTATTAACCTCAGGCCTACATCAATAATTTTTAATCTCCTTATCAGAACCCTTTGCCCCCACCAAACATAGAATCAGCTCCTCCATCCCCTTCAAAATTATCATCTTCATGAATATTCTTGTTGGGAGCCACTTATTATATGACACTTGATGATGTCTTCATACTCAACCTAATTCCTTGGTTCATGGAATTGGTCCATTAATGGAAAATGAATATGTAGCCCTTCTACGTATAACAAGACTTGGTCACGTGTTCTCACCCCTCTCAATTTCAAATTGATCGATCGATAGTTTGAAATATATAAGTCAAATGAAGAGGCAAAGAGAAATAAAACTAAACTTGTAGCTAAAGAATTCTTAAATGCGAATCTTAATGAGAAATTGTTTATCTGACAACCTCAAGTTTTCTCATAATGTACTTTTAAGTTTCATAAGCTCTAAAAAGCAAAGTTGAAAGGTTTCGTTTTTTAAAACTAAACCGTTATTTATTATCTAGACTCAAAGAAACTTCTCTTTTTTTTTGTTATGAGGAAACCAAGCGTTTTTATGAAAAAAATTGAAAAATAATATACCAGACATAAAAAACTCATCAACCAATTTTTTTTAAGGTCTCTCAACAACCTCTTATTCAAGTATCTTGAATCGTTATCTTAAAAGATCTCACATTAATAAGATAAGTGACCAGTACCTAATAAAGGGACAAAATAAAATACATTACAGACGACCTTCTTTAGAATGCCAACATACTTGACAGAAAATACGCTGTGTCATTCCAATGTCTAAAGGACCAACAATCTTATATCTATCATGTGTTATACGAATGACGATGGCACGAACAATCCTATCGATCGAAGAAGGTATAAACAGGTTCGATCTGTCGCTGTCTTAGATTCAATTTGGTTTCTCGGAGTTCCTCAAAGCAAGAAGTTGTGTCAAAACAAGTGTTGAATCTGAGAACACCGTGGTATAAGAAAGGGTGTTAGAATACATTCTTTTGCATTCCTTTAGTTTTTTTACTCTCTTCCTTAAGTTGGCTTACACATGGCTCATACCTTTATTCCTTTTGTTGTTACTTAATGCACTGCTTCCTTTAGTTGATAGCCAGCCATGTTGAGCATATATTTCCTCTCATTTTCTCTCAAGAATAATATTCTCTACAACTTTTCTTTCTTTCTTGTACAACTTTTACTATCCCCACATTGGTGGTTTCACAGTCTATCATCTATACTTTGGTGACGCAAGCTGATATTCATTATGAGACAACTTTTCTGACCCGTATAATATTTAATTATCTTGAAACTCATAAGGTTTTATAGCCTAAACAGGTGACCATATCTAACCTATAACTTTAAGTACTTAACTATTTTTTTTTTCACTTGTCCTAATTTAAAAGGTTAAGGGTGCGTTTGGTTCGTAAATAGAAAACAGAAATTTGAAAACAAGAGATTCAATGAAAACCAAAGTTGTGTTGTTTGTTTTCGGTGTTTTCAGATATGTGTTTGGTAACAGATTTAGTAATTGAATCTCAATTTAAAAAATTGTTAAATGTGTGTTTAGTAATATATTTATAAACTAGAGGTAGTTACCAACTAAATATTTAGTTTAATCTAAAGTTATATTAATTAATTTATTAACATTTTTTTATGAATTTTGTATAATTATTATTTTACAACGTTATATCATTTAGAATACACTATATTTGCATGTTTTAATTTTAACAAACATAAAATGAGTTTATAATATGAAGTAATATATTTATCAAAGTTTTTATCATTTTTAATGTAATTCTGCATCTTAAAATTTTCAAATTCTAGATTTGAAAACACTGAAAACAATACAAAGTCGTTTTTAGAATTTCTATTGTTTGGATTAATTCGAAAACAGTTTTAAAAAACGAATCTCCCGACAACGCGTATTCACTGAATCCACTGAAAACATCAGTCAATCTGAAAACAGAAAAACAGAATCCGAGTTTCCAACTAAATATGTCCTAAATTAACCACGCAAAAGAAACCTACACGTCAAAAGTTTGTTATTTGAAAGAGAAGTATTGTCCCAAGGGAAGGAAAATGTTTTTTGACATTTGTAATATATGAAAAATAAAACTAATTTACTTGACGAAATTAATTTCTTGAGTAAGTGAAACAAAATGATTGGTCCTCTAGAAACCAAAGAGTAGAATTCCCATTTTTCCAAAGCATAAGATAAATCTGTGAAAACTGTAAAACCACAAAAATAACGACACAACAAATTATACTGGTTCACCACTAAGGACTACGTCCAATCTTCCACTCAGATGTGGATAATTTACTAATAATTGTTTAAGGATTAGAATACAAAACTCTCTCAAAAAAATTTCCTAGAGGTCCCAACAAAAGGCCTCTAGCTTCTAAGTATTATAACACACTATATTTAAGTACGGGAATGAAAAACACTCATTAAACCCACTGGATACAGAATTCTTTTCAACACTGCCCACAACCACTCAAGTCTCTTTTATTTGGATTCTGTACAAATGAAACCTTAACATAAGGACTCTATTTATAAGAGGTCAAATATTCTAATTGTTATAGGAAAACAATATTGTAATCTTTATAAGACAATAATATTTTACTCCCGGTAGGAATTAGTAATA